AAAAAAAAAAAAAAAAAAAAAAAAAGATGAGCCCTGAACTGCTAGAAAGAGGCATCCGTGTAGATGGGGTGATTCATCTTTGTGATTTGGCAAGCCCCTGCCTCGAGTGGCTGTAGGGAACTCCCAAGCCCAGCCCAGCCCTTTGATGTAGATAAAGGACATGAGACCCCAGTCTTCTGGACCATTTCATTCCTTCAATGCCCAGTTCCTGTGACATACTACAAAATGTCATGGCACTCAACTCACAGTAGGAGATCATACGCTCCTGCCAAGCGGGGACAGGGGCTTGTGTAACCCTGGGGCTAGGGAGAGGGCGTCACACCCTCCCCAGACAACTCGGTTGCGGCATTTGATTCACAGGCTACCAGCATCCATGGACTAATATGCTCACACTGTATTACCTCCAAAACCCACTGGATACCCTAAGTACAACAGGTGTTTTATAATTGCTTCTTACAACCGCTTCATAATAGTGCTTTTATTTTTACCTATCATTTACCGAGTACCAGTCAAGTACGGATCTCAGAATGGGTCTTCCTCACACTTTATTTCAAATCCCCATCCCTCACAGAGTCATAATGATTCCATCTTACTGATGAAGAAATGGAGGATCAGAGAGATGCAGTGACTTTTCCAAGGTCACACAACTAGCCCAGATTTCAGCTACATACCAGGTTTTTCTATATACTATGCCTCCCCCCGCCTTTAAAATAACCTAGGTTCCTGAGTGACTTAGTGAGCGCCTGTCACCCTAACACAGTCTGGCTCCACTGTCAAGGGTGCTGCAGAGGAGATTCCGGCAGGGTATAGGGTTGAACAGAATTCCTGAGAGCTGCCTCCATCCACGTGGTCCCTGTTCTGCTCCAGGCCACGAGCCAGCCCTTCACAGATCTGTGATTTCTCACTGATGACAAAAACGTGTCATAAAGCACGTCTATAGGGGCCTACCACACAAGGATGGCGTTGTCAACCCACTCTGACAGAGGAGAAAACTGAAGCTCTCAGGAGTTAAGTAACTTGTCCAAGGGCCTGGCTCACCACGGCAAAGCCAGGATCTGCAGCAGCCAGATTTCTCTGCCTCCAAGTTCTATGCCCTGCTTGTGCCCCCACATCCCACCTGCTCCTCGGACCATGCCTTGCTGGCCCTCCAGTATCTGCTGTGAGGCTTCTTAGAGCTGCTCCAGACTTTC